GGTTCCACAAGAGAGGAGCCTGAGAACTGAAAGATCTTCCTCCCATTCTGTTTTTGTAAACTCTAGGAACCACAAGTAAACCTGCAGCCTGAGAGTGAAGTGCTCTGTTAGGAAAATATGGAACAATAAGATCTGTAATATAAGATGGAGCTAGGTTGTTGAGGGCTTTGTAGGTTAGAAGTAAGATTTTGAATTCTATTCTGGATTTGACAGGGAGCCAATGGAGAGAAACTAAAACTGGAGAGGTATGATCTCTCCCAGTAACTCCAGTTAAGACTCTGGCAGCAGCATTTTGGATCAACTGAAGACGTTTTAAAGAAGTATTTGGACACCCAGATAATAAACCATTGCAATAGTCCAGTCTAGACGTGACAAATGCATGGACCAGTTTTTCTGCATCATCTTTAGATCAGATGTTTCTAATGTTAGTGATATTACGCAGGTGGAAGAAGGAGGTTCTAGTAACGTTTTTAATGTGGGGGATAAAAGACATGTCCTGATCAAAAATAACACCAAGATTTTTAACATTAGAGCTGGAGGACAGATTAATGCATCTAAGGAGGGAGAAAGACTGAAACATTCATTCCTAAGGTGCTCAGGTCCAAAAACCAAAACCTCAGTCTTGTCTGTTCAACAGGAGAAAATTAAGGGTCATCCAGGTTTTTATGTCTTTAAGACATGCTTGTAGTCTAAGTAGCTGATTGGATTCATTGGGTTTAATGGACAAATATAATTGTGTGTCATCAGCAAAACAATGAAAATTTATCCCATGCTGTTTAATAACTTTACCTAATGGAAGCATATATAAAGTAAAGAGTATTGGCCCAAGCACTGAGCCCTCAGTTTGCTCAGATTTGTTTTTGTTCATCCCGGAAGTAAACCGGAAGTAGAACTTCTTCTTCTGTGTTTTTTTTAAGGAGAGTTTACCACTCTGCACATGTCAGTACTTCTGTTCTGAACAAAGCCCGCTGCAGATAAACGCTTGTCATGAACAGATTGTGCCCATGTAAACAATACATTTGAATTATTTAATCTGAAAACATTTCAATCCGGTCAAAAAATTTTGCACATGTAAACATAGCTATTGAGGTTAAATAATTCTTAAGTATCTTAAGGTAGAGATAAGAGTGTGTGTTGTACAAGGCCATGATTAATGGAGCTTTGACACCTTGATTCACCATGGCAACCACAAGAAAAGAAGCTGAGTTGGGCCGTTTCTGAATACAAGGTTGCTCAGTACTTCAAAGTTCATGCTCAATAATCCAACAGAGTTCAGTCAGGTCATCTGGATGGTTTCATTTTGTTGTTGAGACGTTTCATCCTTCATCCAAAGGACTTAATCAGTGGCTTCTTGGATTGATGAAGGATGAAACGTCTCAACAACAAAAAGAAACAATCCAGATGACCTGACTGAACTTTGTTGGCTATGCTCAGTACGCGGTGCAGTTTGAATGGAGGCGCAGCTGAACCATTTATCACTGAGCTTTAATTTATGTTCACTGTTTAAATAATAGTTCGATTTTTTTAGCATTCTACTTATATTTATTCAATTTAAGAAATTAAATGGGCCAAATTTCTTTATTAAATTTTCAGTCAAAAGTTTTTTTTAGATTTATTTTCAGTATTTAGATAAAAATGCGTTTTAAGGAAGCACTTTGTGAGCGATTTCTTGCGAAGGTTGTTGTGTGTGTGTGGGCTGTGTGTGTGTGTGTGTGTGTGTGGGCTGTGTGTGTGTGTGTGTGTGTGTGTGGGTGGGTGTGTGTGTGTGGGGGGGGGGGG